CCGTCGGCCCGCCCCGGCATTCGCGTCGTCGCCAGCCCGCCGCTGCCTCGGGTTCGGCCCGTTCTTCCCGATCAGCACCGCTCTGCGAACCCCCCAGTACCGTACTAAACCGCCTTGCACCGCACTACACCGCACTGTACCGCACTGCACCACATTGTACCGCACTGCACCGCACTGCACCGCACTGTACCGCACTGCACCGCACTGCATCGCATTGCTCCGCATTGCATCGTACTGCACTGCATTGCACCGCACGGCACCGCACTACACCGCACTGCACTGCACTGCACCGCACTGTACCGCACTGCGCCGCACTGCACCGCACTGTACTGCTCTACACTGCCCTCTATTGTCAATCATGGCGGAGGTGCTTCGCTTTGACGCTGAGGGCCAGCTAATTGAGTTTGATGCGTGGCTTGCTGACCTCCGTCGCCACCTCACTAGTCAACGGCAGGATGGCCACTCTCTGTCTGTCCATCTTGACGGTACTCTCCCCTGCCCTGACCCCCCCACTGCACTGTCTACTGATCCCTCGTCTGCTGAGCGTGAGTCCGGTGCTGCCGTTGCCCTTGCTCGCTCTGTCTGGCTGTCCCGTGACGCTGTCGCACAGCTGGCTATTAGCAATGCCCTCCCCCTGTCCGAGTGACCTCGCTTCAGGTCTATCACCACTACCCAGGTTTTCCTATATGCTGTTGTCCAGCGCTATTCCACCCCGCCTACTGCCTCGGTAGGTCGCCTTATCCTCCCCATGCTCTTCCCTGACCTTGCGTCGTTCCCCACTGTCGCCGACCTGGCCGCTCACCTGCGCATTATAGATGAGACCTGGCGTGCTGCCTGCACTCCCACATAGCTTCTAGCCCACCAGCCGCCCCTCACCTCTACTCTCTACCTGCTAGCCACCCGCCTCCCTCACCGTCTTGCCACTGCCCGTGACCACTTCCTTAGTGTCCACCCCGCAGACCTCACCTTCACTGACTTTGTTGACACCCTGTCCGCTATAGAGGCCCGCCACCGCTCTATCCCTCAGACTAGCGGTACTGTGCCGGTCCCTATCTTTCAGGGTTGCGCCCTCGCTCAGTGCACCTTCTCCGACGGTTCTGCTGCCGTGGCAAAGACTGCCGCTGCAGCACAGGTCCGTCCGGGGAAGGGTCGCCGCCCCAAGGCTGGGCGTGGCGACGGGGGTGGGGGTGCAGGTGTAGGTGGTGCTGGAGCTGGGTCCACTGGTGGTGGTGCGGACAAGGGGACCCTGACCGGTGCAGCCGAACAGCCGTCTCAGCAGCCGCCGGTGTTGCAACCGGACTCGCGTCAGCCGCAGCAGTCGCAGCCGCAGCAGAGACGGGCGAGTGGTCTCCCGCCCGGGTGGCCTAGCGCTGGTGGAAGCGCTGGACGTGGTGGTGGTGCGCGTGGTGGGCTGCCGGGTGGTGGTTCGGGTGACGCACGCTGTCAGTACTTGCTCGAGACCGGTCCTCGCCGTGGCTTCGTTTGCGGTAAGATCGGTCACACCTCCGTCCGCTGTTTCCGTCGCCTGGATGACCTGTTTCGTCAGCGCTTCGGCCCGTCGCCCGAGCTCCCAGACTCGCACAGTTTGCTTCGTCGTTAGGTTCAGATTTTTGATCTGGATATGGATGAGATTGTTACTGTTCTGCATGTGATGTATGCTGAGGACTCTAGTGTGCTTCCGTCTTATTACCACTTGTTGCTTAGTGTAGGTGTGCCTTGCTTAGACTCCCCAGCTGCGCCAGGCGTAGGATCCCCTGCTTTGTTTAGCCTTGGTGCTTCCGTCGCTGCTTCGCCTCCGGCCGCCACTGCCGCGCTCTCCTTCACCCTCGACTCTGGCGCTTCCCGGTGCTTCTTCCGCGACTCCACCACATTGACACCGCTTCCTGTCCCTGCCGCAATCTCTCTTGCGGACCCCTCCTCCGGCCCTGTAGTCGCCCGCAGTTCCACCACCCTCAGTTCCACCACCCTCCCCTGCCCGGCAGTTCCCTTCGGGCTCGCTCACAGGACTGCACATCCCCTCGTTCTCCAGGAACCTAGTTGGTGTCGGCTGCCTTCAGGACCTTGGCGTCACCACAGCGTTCCCTGGACAAGAGCGGTACCAAGGCCGCCACTGGTGCCCCCCTGTCCACATTCCCACGGGACCCGGTGTCCGGTCTTTTCACACTGGACACAGTGACCCCCCCGGCTGGGACCCCCCCTCAGGTGGCTGCGTCTCCCCCAGTAGCTGCTGCCTGCTCCTGTCAGTCTCTTACCCACCCGACTCTTCTTTGGCACCACTGCCTAGGTCACCCTGCGCTCCCGCGTCTGCATCACATGTCACAGCACGATCTCATCCTAGGCCTCCCCGGGTCGTTCCCGGAGTTTCCCTCCTCCCCAGCCCCACCTTGCACGCCCTCTGTCGAGGGCCGGCTCCGCCGTACCCCTCACTCCTCCTCGTTTCCCCCTACCGCAGCACCGCTACAGACTCTGCACATGGACGTCTGGGTCCCCGCCCCTGTCCATGGGCCGCGTCGAGAGCGCTACTTCCTAGTGCTTGTCGACGACTACAAGTGCTACACCACGGTGTTCCCCCTGGAGTGGAAGGCCGACGTGCCTGACGTTCTTATCCCGTGGCTTGTCTCTGCGCGTGTCCAGCGCTGTCTCCCTGTCTTGCGTCTCCACTCCGACCGTGTTGGCGAGTTTGCCTCTAGTGTCCTTGGTCGTTTCTGTCGTGCGGAGGGCATCACCCAGACGTTCACCTTGCCGGACTCCCCGCAGCAGAATGGGGTCGCTGAGCGACGCATCGGTTTGGTCATGGAGGTGGCTCGCACCTCCATGATCCATGCCGGTGCACCTCATTTTCTGTGGCCGTTCGCCGTTCGCTACGCCGCTCACCAGCTTAACCTGTGGCCGCACCCCCAGCAACCTCAGGTTTCACCGACCCTCCTTTGGTCTGGGTCACCTGGTGACGCGTCTCCGTTCCACGTCTGGGGCTGCCTTGCTCACGTTCGTGCCTCTGGCACGGACAAGCTCACTGCCCGCACCCTTCCCTATGTCTTCCTCGGCTTCCCCCTTGACGCGTCTAACTGGCACATCTACCACCCGCTGTCTCACCGGTTCTTTCACTCCCGCGATATCACCTTTGATGAGTCCGTCTCCTTCTTCCGCCGCTTCCCCCACCGAGGTCCCCCGGTTACCCCCCCCCTTGTTCCTGGTCACCCCTTCCCCGGTCGTTACCGCCCCTCCTCCTCCCCCTCCTCGTCCTGCCCCCTCTGGTGTGTCCCACGTCACCCCACTTACGTCGGTTGTCCCGGTTGAGGAGTCTGCTGACTCTGGTGGTCCTCCGGCGCAGTCCTTGCCGCCTGCCCCTTCTGAATTGTCTCCTCCTCCACCGCCTCCGCAGCCACCGTCGCCACCACTGTCGCAGCCATCGTCACTGCCGTCGCCGCCGCTGCAGCCGTCGTTGCAACCGCCGCCGCCGCAGCCGTCACCGCAGCAGTTCGTTGCCTCTGGGGGTGCTGGAGTTGGGGTGGGTACTAGTCCTGGGACTCCTGTCGTGGCTTGTCCCGGCGGGCCTGGGGGTGGTACCGGTGCTCGAGGGGTTCTGAGCTCTGGGGGTGTTCCTTCTGGGGGTGCTGGCGTGGAGTGTTCTAGAGGTAGCCGCCAGGCAGCTTGTGGTCCCGATGTCGGTGTTACACCGCCGCCGCAGCAGTCACCGCCGCCGCAGCACTCCCCGCCGGTGTCCGCTCTTCGCCTGCTCGGCCTTCCGTCCCCTGACCCCCTGCCCGTGCCTCCTCCTCCTCCTGTCTACGGCCCTGTGTTCCCTCCTCCGGACTCGTCTCTGCCCGTTTCCCCCCTCGTTCCCCTCCTGTGTCCCCTCCTCTGTGTTCTGACCCGACTCCTCCATCTCACGTCTGGTCTCACCGTCCCTCCCGTGCTCGACCTGTCTCCCCTGTCTCGCGCTCTCACCCTACAGTATGTTGCTTTGTTCACACGCGTCCCGTCCTCCCCTTCTCCCGTCGCCCCTTCCGTCCTCCCTTGTCGTTGCTCCCCCCCCTCTGTCTGGCGACCTGGACTTCGCCACAGCAGACAGGGACGCACTGGCCTCTGTGAAGGCAGAGCTGCTGAAGAGACACACCTGCACTGACCTTGGAGAATTGCGCCACTACCTTGGCTTGCAGATCTCCAGGGACAGAGCAGCGCGCACCATCACTTTGACTCAATCACACTTGGTGCGCCAGGTCCTTCAGAGGTTCGGCCTTCAGTTCTCCTCCGCACAGCCCACTCCTCTGCCTCTAGACCACAGGCTCTCAGCTCCAGTTTCTGAGGAGTCAGCAGAGCCCAGTGGCCCTTACGCAAAGCTGGTGGGTTGCCTCATGTACCTGATGACTTGCACTCGCCCAGATCTCGCATACCCTCTCAGTATCCTGGCTCGCTTTGTTGCTACAGGCAGACACCGACCTCAGTATGGTCTGCCGCTAAGAGGGTTTTGCGTTATCTTGCAAGTACATCGGGCATGGGGTTAGTGCTAGGAGGACGTAGGCCAATGGTCCTTACTGGACACACAGACGCTTCTTAGGCAGACGACGCCGTAACCCTCAGGTCCTCGCAGGGCTACTGCTTCAGCCTTGGTTCAGGTGCCATCTTGTGGAGAGCTACCCGCTCCTCGTCTGTTGCCCAGCTGTGAGGCCGAGATCTACGCCGGTGCCATGGCGGCATAGGAGCTCTGCTGGCTGACCTTCTTGCTCACTGACTTTGGTGAGCGGCCTAGCTCTGCCCCGGTCCTGTACGCTGACAACAGGGCCATGATCCTCCTGTGTCAGGAGCCTCGACTCGAGGGCAGAGCGAAGCACATCCAGCTGCGGTACTTCCTCCTGCGTGAGCTTCAGCAGCGCCGCCAGACACGCGTAGTACACTTGGCCTCCGGTGCCAGCATAGCTGATATCTTTACCAAGGCGCTTGCGCCTAAATTTAACAGTCAACACTGATGAATCAACGTAACTTTTCTTGAGGCTCATGGGAAGCTTTCCTTTTAACATGACACTCAGCAATCAAGATACCCTTGAACAAATCGTGGGGCCTGGGCCCATGTGGACTTTGATGTGAGGTTCTGTCCGAACCGAGTATTTCAGACTAGTCGACTTTGGGACACAGATTTCAGAGTAGGGAATTTTCGAAAAATGGCCCTCTCAGACTTGGGATTTTTTTTGGGGGGTAAAATCAGAGTGCCCTTTTTTTTTAAGTCAGCCCTACTCCCCATTCCCACTTGCATGAACAAATAATCTTTACCACCAACCACCAATCCCACCTCCCGTTTACCTTCCGTAAGCCCCCTGGTACCCCCCTCCGACGTACGAGCCAGTCTGGTAATCATACCCCCCTTGCCCTGTGCTCAGCTGCGCTCCTCCCACCCCACCTGCTGCCCCTGCCCCACCCTGCCCCTGCTCCCCCTGAACCGCATAGTACACCGTGGTGCCCGCTGCGCCCACATCTCCCCCATACATCCCCCTCTGCACCAACACCTGCTGCCCCACCCCCGCATCCGTCACATACGTCACCGTTCCCCCCAACCCCCCCCCCAGACTGCTTCCCACGCCTGCAATCCCCCCTCCAGCATACATCCCTCCCCCAAGCCCTACCCCTGCGCCTGGAGATGGGAGGGCTGAGCCCATGCCCCCCACGCCATACACCACCTCCTGCTGCCCCATGCTGCCTGATCCCCCCCCGGCTGCAGCGTACATGGCACCTCCCCCAGCCATACCTGCTCCTCCAAGCGAATATGCTGCTTGCCCCTGCCCCTGCCCCTGCACCTGCCCTCCTGCATACCCTCCCCCTCCCCCTCCGCCTCCGCCGCTGTACCGAGGAGAAGGGGGGTTATACCTGTTCCCTCCTCCCCCCCCTCCTCCGCCTCCTCCCCCTCCTGCTCCTGCTCCTCCTCGTGCCCCCCCCCCTCCTGACCGTGACCGGCCGTAAGAGCGGGGAGACACGCCACCCGCACCACCACCAGCAGCACCACCACCACCAACACCACCACCGCCACCACCACCGCCACCAACCCTACCAAAACCACCACCACCACCCCGCGCACCCGCCGCAGCACGTGCAGCGGCAGCAGCACGCAGGTTAGCCGCAACAGTGGCAGCAGCAGAAGTGGCAGCAGGGGAAAAAGGCGTGCCAAAGGCGGACCCCATGCGCTGCTTCTTGGCGGCCAGCGCCTGCTGCATGCGCGCCTCGTGCGCCTGCCGCTTGGCATCCTGCGCCTGCTGCTTGCGCAGCTGGCGGTTCTTCTCGAGCTGCTCAATGCGCTTGAGAAGGTTGTCCGTGGAGAAGACGGCCTTGAGGTTGCAGTCGTCCACACAGCGGATCAGCGCGCGCACCATGCTGATCTCACGCGACGTGGCCTCGTTCTGAAGAGGAAGGGAAGGGAGAGAAAAAAGAGAGTTGCCTAAGTTACTTCTTCTCACACTGCTCTATGGTGTGTCATGGTAGCCCGAGAAGAAAAAACATTTCCTATGGCATGCCTGCGGACGGCCACTCGTCACCGCCATGCATACCATGGCATGTTATGGCATGCCATGACTCAGCGACTCACCTCGGCCTGCAGCGACTTGTCCTTGTTGGTCAGGGAAGTCACCACGGTCATGGCGCTGCATGACCTGTTGTTGCATGTCATGGTGCTGCATGACCTGTTGTTGCATGTCATGGCACTGCATGACAGGACACCTTACAACAACCCACCTCAGCCTGCCTTGTTGGTAGACATGGGTATATCGCATCGCATCGCGATAAATCGCATCGCATTTTATCGCATTTTGCGATTGCGATTTTTATTTCTTCTTCCAAAAAATCGCAGCGATGCGATGCGATTCTATCGCGCGATTTTTGCGATATCGCGCATTTATCGCGGTTTTTTCAGCGCGATAAAATGCGATATGCGATATTGAAATATCGCGCGCCATACATCCGCATATCGCGTCGCGGAATTGCGCCAGAAAGGGGGGGGGACATGGGCGCGGGCCCTGAACTTAGCAAATTTTAGGGTTCTCTGATTGTAATGGCGTGCGGAAATTGCGCGCGGCTGTTTGGGGTTGGCGTAATTGACGGGGAGGTGTTTGTGAGGAGCTTGGAGAGGAAGGGTTGGAATTTCTAGTTGAAAAGGAGTGCAGTGCAGTTGAGGGAGGGGAGTTGGTTAGAGGTTCAAATTTTGACATGGGCGGTGGTGGATGGAATGTGGTGGTGTGCGGTTAAAGGGATTTAGGGGGTTGATTGCAATCTCGACTCCCACTAAGTCAATTGGTTGGAACTCCAACCAATTTCCACCAATTCAACCGCACTAAATCCCTCCGCACCTACAGAATCCAACCCCTGCCCCTCTCTAACACGCTCTACATCAGAGAGGGGCCACGGTATCTCATTCTCCCGTCAAAATTCACTCACCTAATTCCTTGCGCACGTAGGAAAGCCAGCCTTGTCGGTTTGTCTTTTCTCCTCCGACCCCTTAATGCGATGCGATGTTAAATCGCATCGCGCGATATATCGCACTTATGGGTGCGATACTTTTTAACATCGCACCCTAAATCGCGATATGTGATTTCAGTTTTTGAAACAGAATATCGCAGCGATGCGATATCGCATCGCATCGCATTTTAACCATGTCTACTTGTTGGTTATGGCAGTGAGATACCACAATGCAAATTTCATGGCATGGCATGGCATGGCATGGCATGGCATGCTATTGCATGCATATAACAGCAGAGCAGCATGGCATGCCGAGGTGGCACACAGCAAGCTCACCTCGGCCTGCAGCGACTCGCCCTTCCTTCTTCGTCATTCATCATCTCCACAATGCGATCTCATGTTACAGTGCGATCTCATGTTACAGTGCGATCTCATGTTACAGCATGATAAGGAGCAAAAAGCCAAAGAATTGCGTGACGTGCCATGGCATTGACTCACCTCGGGCTGCAGCGACTTTTCCTTCTTGGTCAGGGCGGTGACGACGGTGCGGACGTCATGCTGCAGCAAAATATGTAGCTGGATGCCCAAGAAGTAAGTATTTCATCATGTGCCATGGGCCATGGGGCAGCAGCTCACCTCGGTCTGCAACGACTTGTCCTTCTTGGTCAGGGCGGTGACGACGGTCCTGGCCAGCTCCACGGGGTCCACCTGGTCCATCACGTCAACGGTACGTGTGCCACTCCAACCCACACGCACCTCTTTCTACACGGCAAAAACACCCACCTCGGCCTGCAGCGACTTGTCCTTCTTGGTGAGGGCCGTCACCACAGTGCGGACCTCTCTCAGGCTGCGCTTGAGCAGCTCCACGGCGTCCACCTGGTCCATCACGTCAACGGCATGCGCCAAGTAGATGGCGTCCACCTCGCGCCCGGCCTTCACCAGCCGCTGCACCACTGCTGCAGGTTGTTAAAAAGGAGACAACAGGGGTGGGAGGGGGGCCGCGGGGCGGGGCGGGGAGTGTGGCGCATTGGACATCATCTCGTGACTTGCGGGTGCAGTATGGGACATCGTCCCACCCCCTGTTGACCAGCAGCTCCACGGGGCGTCGGGGTACACCTGGTCCATCACGTCAACGGCACGTCCCTCGTAAATCGCGTCCACCTCCCTCCCCGCCTTCACCAGCCGCTGCACCACCGCTGCACATTGTGGAGGAGGGGGGACGGGGGAGAGAGGGGGGAGAAGGTTATGAGGCGCCTTGTGACTTCTCCAGTGAAGCCCCCCCTCCATCGATCCTGTTTCCACAGAAATTGCTTACTTTCTTGCGTCAATGATGTGAGCCAAGCATGCACGAAAGCGAGGAGTCGTATGGGGAGGACGGAGAGAGGGATACAGAGCACATTCGGCACAGAGCAGCAGCACGAGTAGGAGAACAGAAAGCACCACCACCAATCAGCAGCATCAGCAGCAGCAGCAGCAGCAGCAGCAGCAGCAGCAGCAGCAGCAGCAGCAGCAGCAGCAGCAGCAGCAGCAGCAGCAGCAGCAGCAGCAGCAGCAGCAGCAGCAGCAGCAGCAGCAGCAGCAGCAGCAGCAGCAGCAGCAGCAGCAGCAGCAGCAGCAGCAGCAGCAGCAGCAGCAGCAGCAGCAGCAGCAGCAGCAGCAGCAGCAGCAGCAGCAGCAGCAGCAGCAGCAGCAGCAGCAGCAGCAGCAGCAGCAGCAGTCATGTCATCTAGAGAATGTCTGCAAGTCCCACAGCCATGACACCTCGGTGTTTCTGCCCCACCCGTTTCAGGTCTGGCAGCTGGGCAGTGAGGCCTGTGGCGATGGCCATCATTGACCATGACTGGGAATCCACAGCCACTATCACTCAGGTCCCCTCCCCCCCCAACGAATGTACGTGCATAGCCTGCTTGCGGGGCCCCACAGAAGCCATCCGTATCCCCAGCAGAAACAGCGCGTGCCACAAGTCGCAGGTAATAAACCCCAGCGGATAAACCCCTCAACACGATACTCCACCGCGACCACACGATACTCCACGATACTCCACGTGGCAACCGCGATCTTCCCCGCCTGGTATCTTGCCAGTGAGGCCCATGGGCCTAACCACGTGGCACCTGGCTGGCTCCATCAGCTCTCTACCCCCCAGCGTGCACGCACCCACCTTCATGACTCACGGCCCTACTTAAACAAACGCCAACCACGCGCTCCTCAGAGTGGCGTTCGCCTTCCCCACTCGCCATCCTGCCCGTCTGCCCCATGGCTTTCACCATCTCGCCCGTCTGCTGCACCACCCGCCTTGCTTCCCCGCAGTGTGGACCCTCGTCCACGACCCCACTGACAAAACGCACAATCTGCACCTATAAGCCCCCAACAAGGTTCCCCACCTGGCATCTTGTCCGCGAGTCCCATGGCTTTGACCATCTCGGCCGTCTGCTTGCGGCGCGACGACGCGGCGACGAACCCGAGCAGCGCGTCTTGGTCCACCAGCGCCCCCACGCGGAACACCGCCGCCACCTGCAGCACCAGCCACGCGTCCAGCCCCGACGCCTCCTCCGCCTTCGCCAGCGGCCCCCCGCTCCGCACCCACCTCTCCACGATCCCGCGCGCCTGCTCCTGTATCGAGGGCGCAATAACGGGGACGGCAACCCCCTCCGCCTTGGCCTGCTTGGCCAGAATCTGTCCGAGCGTTTCCACCAATAGGGAAACCGCGCGCACGTGGGTCGGCTCCACGGGCTCGCGCCGCTTGTCTCTGCCAACCCCGCCGCTTTCGACGGACGCGGGTTTGTACGAGTCCAGGCACGAGAGCACGAGGCGGCATGGGTCGAGCGCGAGGGGAAGCGCCAGGGGGAGCTCCGCGCGCACGCGGCTGATCTCCCGGCGGTTCTGCATGACGTAGCGCTTGAGGCCCTCCGCGTCCATCCCCGCGCACAGCGCGCGCAACTCCGCGCTCACCCGCACCGCCTCCGCGGACTCGTCCGCGGGCTTCGGGGCCTTGGCGGACTTAGCCTTGGCGTCCTTGGGGGAAGCAGTAGCGGGCTCGGCTGTAGCGGCGGCTGTAGCAGCTCTGCTACTGCCAGGCTCGCTAAGAGGAGCCTCAGGATGGCCCGAGGCCGAAGCCTTGTCCTGGTCTTTGCCCTTATCCTCCTCTTTTTCCTTACCCTCCTTATCCTTCGCCTTCTCCTCCTTTTTCTTCTCTTCCTGAACCTTCTCTTTCTCCTTTTCCTTCTCCTTCTCTTTCCTCTCCTTCTCCTTTTCCTCCTCTTTCTTCTCCTTCTCACTCCCTTCCTTCCTCTCATTCTCTTTCTTCGCCTTGTCGTTGCTTTCCTTCCGCTCGCTCTCCCTCCTCGCCCTCTCGCTCCCGTCCTTACCCTTCCCGCTCGACCCCTTCTCCTTCTCCCGGCTCTTCTCCTCCATCCATTTCTTCCTCTCCTCTTCCAGCGCAGCGAAAGCTGCGTCGCGCTGCTCCTGCACTCGCTGCATCGACTCAGATTCGCGAGATGCAATCGCACTCTCTCGCTTATCGAGTTGCTTTGTAACGGTCCGGATCTTCTCCTCGAGAGCCTTCTCTCTCGCGCTCACGTCCTGCTCCCGCTTTCGGAGCCTCTCCTCGGTCGCCGCGAAAAAATCGTCCAGCTCTTTCCACTGGGCGATGCTGTTCGCGAGCATCGCCGATTTCGCCTGCAGATCTGCGAAAGATCGGCGAACGTTTTCGTAACGGATGGCGTACCCTTGGATCTGAGCATCGGGACCGTCGGTGTCGACGTTTACCATCTCCAGATCCGCATCGTCCTCCGCCTTTCTCGGTAGATCCGCGTCCCCCTCCTCAGGTTCACCCACTAGGTCCAGCTCGTCGTCCTTATCCATATTGTCCACGTCAGCCTTTTCGTCCGCGTCGGCATCCGCTTGCTTCTCCAAGTCAATGATCGAGGCCTTTCCGTTCTCAATGACTTTTTCATCGGCACTAGCCGCGCCCTTAGTTTCCATATCGGTTGCAGGTTGTGACGTCATCCTGAGGTGGAAAAGGCGGGAGCGATTGGCAACAGCAACCGAACGAGGAGAAGGACGACGCAGATAGCAGAATAGGGACATCAGGAAAGAGGTAGATTACACGGATCCATAAAGGGTGAGGGCGGGATTAAAAGAAAAACAAGCAAGATATACGAATAACAAAACGGAACGCGGAAACACACCCGAGTCATTTGATTGACGAAAAAAAAAAAAACAAGAATTAAGAAAACATACAGGATTGCACCGGAAGGAAAGTTAATCGCTCAACGCGGTGACTGCGGCGAGCTGACGAGAGAAGTGAGCTGGTACAAGTGTTTATGGACAACAATGCCAAGCGCCAAGCGAGAGGAGAAATGACGATCACACAATCAGAAGTAGGGCTTGGCGCGAAGAAGGTGGCGTGAAGCGGAAAGAAAAGAAACGAGGGCGAGGGCGTGATACCTGGGTTGCGCAACCCATTAGTTTCGCAACCCCGTCTGGTTACCGAGCTCGCCAGGTCTCGCATGGCATGTGAAGGCTGGATTTATTTGATTTGGGTTTGAATTGGGGTTGGGTTGGGTTCTTCGCCAGTTGAGCAATCTGGGTTGCAGTCTCGAGGCAACGCGCAACCCATAAACTGTACATACACACGCCTGGAAAGGGGGATGATGGGGGAGAGTGGCAAAGGAAAGACGAATGAGGGATTGTTTCCAGGAGGTGCCATCCCGAGAGAGTGTCATCCGAGATGTGTTGGAAACCCATCTCAACCGTTATTTCGAAACCTCAACGGTTGCGATGGGTTTCCATCATTCTGGGAAGTCACTTTCTCGGGATGACACCTACTAGAAACCAGACCTGAGAAGACGAAACGAGGGGCTAGGAATTATATGCCTTACCCGGTTGTACTGCAATCGCGTCCACCTAGCCCGCGGTAATTTCACACCCTGAAACTGGGCGGCAGAAGTATTTTTGTTTCCACCCGGACCATTTCTGAGTGCGTCAACCCCTTGTTCCTACAGCCTAAGCTTGGCAGACTCCACGCGGGCAAGAACTTTTATGGTGTGGTACTTCGGCAAAAATCGGGTTGTGCAACTCGGCAGAGTTGCGCAACTTGGGACGATTATCTTTCTCAACCGCTTTGTTGAATAGCTTTACCAGTCTGTTTTGGCAAGAATTGCGCAACTCGGGCTGCGCAACTCGGGGCTTTTTTGCCGAAGTACCACGCCCTCGGGGATTTAGTGTTACATTCACCCCGCTTATCCAGGGTAGTTTATTTCCAAGGCGTGGTTAACCTTGCGGGCCTGCAAAGTGGTTGTCCGTGAGCTAGAGTTATTAGCTCACACAACTACGATAGCGTTTGCACCCTCTGCAATTCCTTACCACGACCTTCCCCTTGCCCGAAAGGCGTAGCATTCGCATCATGACTCAGGCCCAGCTAGACGAGGTCATGGCTCAGATGCAGGCAATACAAGCCCAGATGGCGAGTTTGAATAGTGAAGTCATGAGACTTCGGATGGAGAACACCGAGCTTCGCCAGACGCGTGGTGAAGCGCGTCAGGAGTCGCCGGGAGTCGCAGAGAATGATGTCAAGCAAGAAGCCAACGACGCAGCAAGCAAGACCGTCCTTGACAAGCTCGCACGGGAACTGGAGCAAGAAGGTGTGCGCACCGTGACAGTCACGACGATTAAACTCAAGCCAGCCACGCCGCCCCCGTTTAACCCTTCAGACAAGGCGACAACTGTGCAAGGGTGGTTGTTGAACATGGAATTATTCTTCACGACTGCAAGTGTTTATGTGGAGGACGCGCGCATTGATTATGCCGTGTTGCTTCTCCGAGGACAGGCGTTGGATTGGTGGCGACGTCAATTGGCGATTGGGACTCCGGCAGGCGTGAAGCAGGCAAAGGACGGGACTTCGGATTCTTCCAACCAACAAGCGAAAACTATGTTCGGTACGACCACGATTCATACGTGGAAACAGTGGGGCACACCTCTGCGAGCTCGTTTTGAGCACCCATCCGCCTCAGACGATGCTCGCATGAAGCTGCGCAACTGGCGGCAGGTGACTACTGATCAAGATTACACTACGTCGTTCTCAGCACTTGCGGACCAAGCGGTCGACCTCAGCGAAGCGGAAAGGCGGGACAAATGCATCAGTGGGTTGCATTTTGATATTCAGTACGAGTTGCAGCGGTCCCGGCCCAAGACGTTCGATGAAGCTGTCCAGCTGGCATCAGCAGTCGATGCATTGCAGCAGTGGGCGAAAAAGAACAACAGGGATGTTGGTAGTTTTCGTTGACGACCTCCCCGCCCCACGACCAATGGCGTGTCTGCGCGCGATGAAGTATTTCACGGGCTATGTTCTAGATGTAACAAGCCAGGTCACCGAGCTAAGTACTGCCCGACGGTGCCCAAGATGTCGGAGAACAACAAGGAGAAGCTGGGAAATGGGAAAAGCCAGTAGCAGACAGGCCCCCTACTGACGAGGCTTTGTCGCCCGAACTTCAGCGTTCCCACCAAGTTGTGGTACCAATACATGCTATCGACCGCACTCGGACGAATAACGGGAGCGAACCTGAAGATCACCCTATGTTGGTCGAAGACAAGGTGAATGGTAAAAAAAAAAATTATTTGTGGATGGCGGGGCTAGTCACAGCCTGATCCACGTGAGAACAGCGAAGTAGTTGAAGCTGACATTGGAGAAGTGCTTACTTGAAATTGATGCACGACTGGTGGACAGGACTCCACTCGCGATTCAGGAATACGCGCGCATGGTGCGGATGAAGTGTGGCGACGATTTCGGACGCGATTGGCTGCGAAAATACAACATGAGGATCGACTGGACAACCGGCGAATGCAGCGTGAACTGTGCGAACGGGTGGCGCGTACTCCCGAACTAGCGCGGGCGATCCGGTGTCACCACGTGTCAACGCGATCACCCTCCAGCGAATAGTAAAACGGGGAGCTGATTTATACGCCGTCCATCTGAACGAAACGACGGTCGACGAGAAGTCAAAGGACATTTACATGCTGTGCGCTAGTATCCCTACCGAGCTCGCTGCGCTGATTCGTCAATACCCGAATATTTTTCCGGATGACCTGCCAGCCAGATTGCCACCTGAGCGCCCCTAGGACCACAAAATCGATGTGCAACCTGGGCGCAGCCAACCGTCATGACACATTGGCGGCTGACTTAGCCCGAACTCACGGAGTTGCGGAGCCAGCTGGAGTACCTACTAGAGAAGGGGTTTATTCGACGCAGCAAGTCCCCGTTCGCAGCGCCCATAAGGTTTACGCCCAAAAAAGGATGGACGGCTACGAATGTGCATTGATAACTGGGTGCTGAATCGGCGAACCATCAAATATTGCTACCCAATCCCACGCGCGGACGATCTCCTGGACCAACTTCACGGGGCTCGCTTCTTCTCCAAGATTGACCTACGAGGCGGTTACCATCAAATCCGGGTTTCGTAGACAACTGCCACAAGACAGCATTTAGAATCCACTATGGCAGCTTGCCTTTTGGCCTCACGAATGCGCCCTCTACATTCCAACTGACCATGAATGACGTGTTCCACGATCTCCTCGACAAATGTATCATCGTCTACTTAGATGACATTATGATCTTCAGCAAGACACGGGAACAGCACCTCAAGGACCTCGACCAGATTTTCCAACGCCTGCAGCAGAACCGGCTCATCACCAAGGGCTCTAAGTGTGAGTTCCAAAAATCCGAACTGGAAATTTTAGGACATGTCGTTGGAGCGGACGGCATTAAAATTGACCCAAAGTAAATCGTCACCAACCGCGACTGGAAGTCGCCCACGAATTTACAAGAGCTGCATAGTTTTTTTGGGTTCATAAATTACGTCCGGCAGTTTATCTCCAATATGGCACGGACAACCGGACCTCTAACTGACCTGTTGCGGATGGGAACTTCGTTTGAGTGGGGGAAGAGACAGCAGGCTACTTTTGACGAACTCATAAAATTTCTGATGTCACCCCCGGTCCTCCGAATCACTGATCCATCTCGACCGTTCGAAGTCTTGACGGACGCTAGCGATTTCGTCATCGGCACGGTACTGTTACAGAAATTCAGCGACAGACTCCAACCAATCGTGTACAAGTCCAGAAAGTTGCAGGCAGCCGAGCGCAACTACGTGTCCACGAAAAAGAAATGCTCGCCATCGTGCACACGCTCAAGGTGTAGCGTTGCTACCTTATGGGAGCCGACATGACAGTACAGACAGACCACAAATCCCTACAGTACCACCGCGCGCTGCCGAACCTCAACCCACGACAGATTCGCTGGCTGGATTTTATGGAGAGCAACTTCCACTACACCCTCATGTACAAACGTGGAGGGTATAACATCGCCGATGCACTGACACGGCCGTCCGCCCACCTCGCCTCCATCATCATTGCACAATCCAACCCACTAATAACGAGACTATTCACCCACAGATACAGCACTGACCCCTTTTTCACCCGCAACCTCCATCAGCAAGCCACCCCGGCTAAGGGAATTTATTTCCTAAAATTCGGTACTGACCGCATCTGGGTTCCCGCTTACCGCATCCTTCGCGAATTTCTGATTCAATAAGTCCATGATTCTAACCTCTCCAGTTATTTCAGGGTTGACCAAACCTAGAAATTACTTCACCGTTTTTTTTTTTGCCAGATTCGGCGTTTGATGTGCAGAGATACGTATTGGTATGCCTGACCTGCCAGCGCATGAAGTCCTCTCGACAGCGGCCAACTGGACTACTGCAATTGCTCAAGCCACCCCAGAAGCTGTGACAACACGTGACAATGGATTTTGTCACAGTACTTTTGGCCAGCACAAAAGGCAACGATGCCGTCCTCGTCGTCGTCGATCGCCTAACAAAGATGGCGCATTTCGCACCCTATCGTACGACAATCACAACCAAAGAAACAGCCAAGCTCTTCATCTCCACCGTTGTTCGTCTGCACGGCCTGCCCTCGGCGATCATCAGTGACCACAACCCCAAGTTCACGTCCAAGTTCTGGCAAGAGACATGGGAACCGTACGGCAAACGCCTGTAGTTTTCGTCCGCCTACCACCCACAAACCAACGGTCGGACCGCTCACACCAATCAGACCATGGAGCAGCTGATACGCACCAGCTGCCTCGATCCTGCCCGGTGGGAAGGATTCCTGCCCATGCTGGAATTTTCCTACAACAACGCCCCATCAGCAACAACTAATCTCTCGCCTTTCTTCCTCAACTACGGGATGGATCCCAACGTACCCACGACGACAAACATCGAAAATCCCGTGCCCCGCTCCCAACAAACTCTTGACCGCCCGGGAGAAAGCGATCGAATTCATTCGCAA